TTATGTGTTGTATTTTTAGTGTTGTAGTTTTTTGTCATCAAGTTCTTATATGCTATTTTATTTTTGCAAATTGCTTTGGTGTGTTTCGGTGTTGCATTTTTTTTCTTTCTATGCTGTTTTTTTGGGATGTCCCGGAACGTCTTGTTCTGTCCCGATACCGATTTAAAAGGGACCACATTAGGACGATGTCTTGTCCCGTTCCATTCCATTATCCTAAACCGGGTTTTGTACCGGGATAGTCTAATTCCCTTCCTGTCCCGTGCCCACCCGTCCACCCCTAGGTTGTTCCAATAGATTTATTTATTTTTATTTATAATTGTTTCAAATTAAGTGGGACATTCCAATTTCCAAGATGGAGGGAGGCTTGTCATAATGAACTTCTGAGAATATGAGATTTCCCTCCTTTTCCTCCTTGTTTATCTATCTACTGCCATTATTCAAACATGCTGTACTATTTGATTGCTCTTTTTTATTTTATTTTATTTTATTTTATTTTATTTTATTTTATTTTATTTTATTTTATTTTATTTTATTTTATTTTATTTTAATTTATTTTATTTTATTTTATTTTATTTTATTTTATTTTATTTTATTTTATTTTATTTTATTTTATTTTATTTTATTTTATTTTATTTTATTTTATTTTATTTTATTTTATTTTATTTTATTTTATTTTATTTTATTTTATTTTATTTTATTTTATTTTATTTTATTTTATTTTATTTTATTTTATTTCATTTCATTTCATTTTATTTTATTTCGACCAATCAACATGTTTAAGTAGATTTTAGCAGACAATTTTGTTAATGTTAGATCTAAATATTTTCTTTGATTCAGTGTTTTGGAGCTAAACAGTTTTCAATCATTTATGGCAAAGTACGGAGTAATTTATAGACAAAGTACTGAGACTTCGACCAATTAACAACCTTTTATTTTAGGAGAATTACATAGTATCATCTGACCGCATTTTTTAATACAAAGACTCACCTAAATATTTTTATAAAAAGCAAGGACAACAGTAGTAAGCATATATTGTTACTGCATAACGAGCCGCCAACTGTTGTGGCTCCTATGGTTTTGAATTGCCGCCGACTGCCAGTTTCCTACTGTATGGCTTTGTCATTAATGTCAACTCCTACTATCCAGTGACAGTGGATGTTTAAGTGTATAACCACCGGCACAACCACAATAACCATCTCTATTTGTAAAATTTATTCCGAGACGTCTAATTTCAAAATTAGTGAAGCTAATACTAGTTTTGTAAGCTACATAGTTTTAGCCCCTCTTTAAATTTTGCAATGTACAACCATACAACTCCTAAAAGTCATGAAATCACATTTTTTTTTTTCAAAAGTCATTTTATGTTTACTAAACTTGTTTGTACTGTTTAGCTTATCTTTTTTATCTTTATTTTCTTTCTTTTCCTTTTGGTGATATCATGTATCAATTCATGTTAGCCGAACCCAATATCGTTTGGGACTAAGACTTGGATGTTGTTGAAACTTGTTTGTACTGTTTTTGGAAAATTAATTTCAATGCTAGCTCCTTTGATGAGATTTGATATTTTTTCGTGAAAAAGCTTTTGAAACATTAGTTTTTTTGGGACGAGGGAGTTCTTTTTAATAGATGATCATTGCTATACAGTTTGAGTTTCTTGGTTTATTCCATGTCAGAATATTTATGTTTTTGTATTTTTCAATCTGTTGATTGAAGAATATTTGTGCATGTGCATGTCTTAGCAAGCAATCATCTTCCACTTGTAAATTCTGTTGTCCAAAAAAACTGATTTTGCAGGCCGGAGATCTTTTTGATCACCAAGCTCTATTTATTGGAGTTACTAAAAAAAGGAAATGCTCTGTTGGGATGGAAAAAGTGAAATGGATCACATTTCAGGAATTTCATGAGGTCTTGAGGTAATAGTTTACATCCATTTGCTTGTTTCTCATTTGACCTTCATTTCTTAGTATACAGAAAGTTCCTTGTGCTTGCTTTATCTTATTTAAACCACAGCACATGGTATTAATGGTGAATTGCACATGATGTAATCCTTCAGTCCTCAAATAAAATGGGGAAATGACACAACCACAAATAAATTTAAAATTTCTGGTTTAGATCCATTTAAGAAGGTAAGAACAAATGTCACCCACATACTTCTTTCACTTGATGAAAGATGAAGTTTATTGTGAGTCGTGACACATCCAAAAAAGAAAATAGCGAAATTTATATTATTCATGGCTGGCTTGTTTCTATATTTTTTCTCCATCAGATGAATTAGTTTCTTAGCTAAAAAACAAAAATGTTTCACAGCCAATTTTTTTTTTGAGATACTAGTACCAAATAAAGGAACCTGTTTTTTTATATTGTATTTCAGAGGAGATGAGGAGTACTTATATGTGAATGGTCTTGGCATAAAAAATGAAGACGCATTCCGTTTCTACATGTCAGATCCGTATACTGCATTATCTTCTTACAAAAATGTCTCGGAAGAACTTAAATGTTTGAAACATGCGTATGAAGATGACACCAGGAACCACACAAGTCATAAGAAGACCATTTTATGTGGCATTTCTTTTGCTTGTTGTGGTCGCGGTGAGCCGTTCTTCGGACGTGCTAATGTTGATAGCTTGCCTTTCCTGGAAAACTTCCCCGGGGTTCCCTTTGCTGGGACATTTTGTGCAGGAGAAATTGGTCGCATGGATTCAAGCTCCTCTAACCATGAAGAGAACTGTTCCACCACTGCACGCTGCTGTTTGCATGTGTTTAGCACTGCCTACCTTGTCGTCTCATACACACCGCCTGCAAACCTATATTTGTGAAGTATATTTGTGTATTTTTTACCAACAACTAGTCCACTGCTCAGTCAAACCTTCTCAGCCGGTTAAACTACTGTCTTGCCGGTTTTTGGGTGGCCCTTGGGTTGGGGTGCATCCTTGTTTTACTAACTAGTCCACTATCTCCATTTGCATATTTGTGCGCTTTCTTTCCTGATGGTGCTCAGGGTCTTTAGATTTGATAATGTTTCTTTTTTTTACATGGTGCAAATGTGCAATGGTGAACCAGGGAATACCCTCCGGATTGAGTACTTGCATTAAATTTTACAAGTGAGATGATCCTTTTGTCTTTATTGAAGGGAATATATAACTTTAATGTAAGGGTGAAAAACTGATACAACGTAAGTTATAACAGGACGTTTACTGTGTCATAGACGTTATAGTAACTTTACTGACTGATGTAAACTTTGAACACCGTTGTAGTATTTATAAGTTACTAAGTCACATTTTTGTCCATGACTTTTATATGAGCAATATTTTAGGAAAAACCTCATAGTCATATCATTAACCTCTCTTGAGGTTTGTTGTATTACAAACTATCCCTACTGTCCTACATATCATTTATTCTTTCCTCATATCTTTTATTTAAGATTGCATCATTTCATTTAAATTTTGAAGTATGGAAGTATCTATGTAGTTGTACAACTCTGCTATTCAAAGCTGAAAAAAATGTAGGCTAAAGGGTCAAATAGGCTTTTGAACTGACCTAACGTGTTCAATTAGCCCTTTATATAGAAGGTTCTGCCCGGCCGTCGCCAATTGGGGTGGTTCTTGGTGGAATTTTTTGATGAATTTTTTTGAGCATCTTCTTCATTAAGTCTAGTTTACTCATACCAAATTTGATGAAGACAGTCAAATGATTTTTTGATGATAATTACGAAGTTAAACAGCGCAGTACATTTCGAAAAATCATTTGACTGCCTTCCCGGTTGAATTTATAGTTGAAATTTGGTATGGGTAAATTAGATTTAATGAAGAAGATGCTCAGAAAATTTCATCAAAAAATTCTACCGGGTACCGCCCCAATTAGCGACGACCGGGCAGAACCTAAGGGGCTAATTGAACACTTTAAGTCAGTTCAATAGTCTATTTGACCCTTTAGCCAAAAATGTATAGCAGAAACCGACTGATAAATCATTCAAATTGAACCACTGAACCACATAAGATTGAATTGACTAAAATAAAAATTAATCAAAATAGACCCAACTTTAAGTGGTTCAATATATTAATTTAGATTAAAAAGTGATTGTATTGATAAAATTAATTGAAATTGATATAAATAAATCGAAATTTATCAAAACAGACTCAAGTACTACACATCGATTCTGTCTCACCATTTTCAAAGTCAATTAAAAAAATGTAAAACCGACGAATACTCATTACTCACTTTAGACACAATTTGAAAATTAACATAATATGGATTTGTTTACCACTGAACCATTAAAATTAGCATTTCACAATTTTTTAAAATATATAGCAGTCTCTTAAAAACCATTCACCAAAATACACAGTATATTTATACATGAAAGTATTATTTCAAGAGTTTATCAATAAATTTCAGTCAGATGAAGAGGTCCTTAAAATTACGAGTGGGTATTATTAGTGTAGGTTTTACTATTTCCGTATGATAGATGTTACACTAAGCCAATGCTCAAAAGATTGGGAATTCAATGCGTATGAAAAATCTTTTCTTACAATCTTACGTATCAATGCAAAAACAAAGTAAATTCACAACTGGGTTAGAACCCAGTCAGAACCTCACCATATGATTCATACACTTCCCAAATCCTCCAATGTCTTATTTTTGTTATGCCAAAAGTAGACATCTTAAATGTGGAAAGAAAATTTGCGAAATCAGGTATGTAATTTCCCCAAGTGGTAATAATGCTATTTATAATGACAATTATTTCAATTATTATCATTCTAATCTCAGACAGTTAAGGAAGAACCAGCAATGACATACCATTTATGGTAATTTTCTAAAATGAGGGAAAATCCCACAGCAAAAGGTAAAATGAAAATTTCTACATGTAGAGGTGAGAGCCAGAGAGGCCTTCCTTCATTATTTCCTTTCTATTCTTTTTCTTCCAAATGGAGTTTCACTTTCCTCTAATGTCACCCAAAGATGGCAAAAACTTCAGCTTATTAAGCCCCTCCCCACCCATAAAAATAAAGTTAAAAAGTTAGAGAAGAGAGAGCTAAAGAAATGGGGAGAGGGAAGATAGAGATAAAAAAGATAGAGAACCTTAACAACAGACAGGTGACCTTTTCTAAGAGAAGGGCAGGGCTGCTTAAGAAGGCTAAGGAGCTCTCCATTCTCTGTGATGCTCAGGTTGCTGTCATTGTTATCTCCACCACTGGCAGGCTCTATGAATATTCCAGTTCCAGGTTTTCTGCTCTCACCTTTTATCCAACACTGTTTTCCTTTAGGGCTCGTTTGGTGAGTGTTATTTGCCTTGAAGGAGCTGAATTTTCTTTGGTCACATCGATTTCATCTTGTATTTAATCCCAAAGCTATAAGATTATACCTACCAAAGGAAATCTTAAATGAAATCCTCCTAGAAGTGGTAGAATCTGAGTTCCTAATCCTTGTAATGTACCAATTAAATAAGAAAAAAGAGCAAATAAACTTTCAAACTATTAGTGGTTCTCCCATCAACCCGACGCTTGAACCATTGAAATAGTCTTCGATTCATTGAAGTAAAATAATTTTATACGGATTACTTTTTACCTGTTGATGCTGGTAAGATGATAACTTTCTCGTGAGAAATTACTGACACTAGTAGAAAAGTGCATGAATGCTTTATTTCAATGGATCAATGATCATATTTGCAAGGTCTTTCGGCTCAGGTGTATGATTGAAAAATCGCAATAGTTCTGGGGTGTATTTTCCCTTTTACTTAATAAATAATTACTTGAATGACTCAATTCCTACTCCTAACTCCCAAATCCCAAGTCCTATTCTGTGCACTATTCCTTAGTGGATTGTAAGTACTTTTGTATATTTAAAAGTGTATTTCATCAATTTTTGTTATGTTTAAAGATTATAAATGATATATATTGGTTTTAATATTGTTAATAGGGATGTATATACCAATATGCATACAAGCTAAATTTAAGTAAACTTAATAGCCTTTAGTTTTTTAAATAAGTAACTTGTTATTATAGACATATAGTGAAACCAATTTTCCATCTTTCAATTAAATATTGGTATATATATCGCTATTAACTAGTGGATGGGCTAAAAAAGGCCATAGAATAGGTGAATGCACTTTCGAAGTTTTAAACACTAAACGGACCTTGTTATTGTTTGAAGCATGGAACATGTATTGGCAAAGTACAAACAAACACCACACCCTTCAGAGATTGCTCCAGTTGATAATGAATCAAAGGTCAGACTGACTTTTATTAATTTCAAACCTTTGATATTGTCTCCATTCCCTCTTGTCTTTGCTAATTGTCTCCTATTCCCTTTTGGAACGTTTTTAATTATTTCTCTCTCTTTCCTTTTTGATAAGTTTTTTCAATCAAAATACATTTTTACCCTTACCTCTTTCTCTTCCTACTTTATCATTTAAACACAAACCATTACCTCTTATACATTATTCATATTATTTTCCCCTTAAAAGTTAAAACATGTGTCAAAGCCTAAGGGAATACTTAATAAAGAAGGGATGGAGTATTACAGTCCATTTTAATGTTTGGTTCAAATGATGTTAATTAATTAAACTAATGAAATTTGTTTTAGGCGTTCAAGAGTGATTTGCAGCCGGAAGTAAGCGCTTTAAGATCTGAACTGGCAAAGATGCATCAGCTCCACCGGTGAGCTTCTTTACACAATAATCTCAAAAGTGAAATCATAAATTTAGCTAAAATGTTGAATTTTTTAACGTGAAATATGAATTATTAAACTGTTAAATAGTATTTGAGATATTAACTATTTCTCTAATTAGGTTGATTTTTTTGGATGAGAGCCTTTGCGGCACTCGAGTGCACTAAACTTGTTTGTGGACCTCTATAAAAATGTCAATGCTGAAACGTCATTAATCATCATTGATTGTGACATTAAAATACATATTTTTATGTTTTTAAAAGAAGTGATACTTTCCTTCAAAAAAAAGCAATGATGCTTTTTCGACAATTTTTCTTTAGACATATTTATTTCAAAACTATAAAACAGTTTAGTAAAACGTAACATGTTTCCTTGATCCTAGCTAGGAATTTTTTCCAACAATAATGTAAAATAAAAAAATATTTCCCAAAATAGAGTTTGGTTAAAAATATTTCCCAAAATACTGTTCCCCTAAACTCGAGTTAAAAGAACCACCACTTCGAGTGGCGGCTTATATGAGAAAACGAGTTAAGCACGCTGAAGCCTAAAGGTAGTGAGTGACGCACGTAGCAATATGACATAGGCCCCACAAAAATAAAAATCCCATTTTTAATTTAAAGTGATATAACTTTTTTATTTGTACTCTGATCATTACAAAAAATACATCAAAATTCATAACTTTTTATTATCTTTCATATGACACCAATATCGAATATATAAAAATAAAAAACATAATTTAACATTTTAATTTTTTTTGTAAATGTTATATCTTTTTTATACACCGATTGTTAGAAAAAATATATTAAAACTCATAACTCTTTGTTATCTTTCATGAGACACTAATTTTGAATATTTAAAAATTAAAAATCAATTTTATGAATTTGTGCAGTTTGGAATCGTTTTTTACAATACACACATCTTATTTGGAGTGATAATTTATAATAAAACTATATAAACTCCATCACTTTTATTATCATTTTATTCCTTGTTTAGTTTTAGGATGTTTTCTTTTGGACTGTTTTCAGTCCCATACCGGATTAGACTAGACTAGTTCAGACCAGACCAAATTTAAACTGACCAGACCAGACCAAACCAGAGTTAAACAGAACAGACCAGATCGAACTTGAACAATTAGAAAAACACAAAGGCGAGCTAGATATTTACCAAATCGAACTTAAACAGATCAGACCAGACCAACAAATTATAAAATTATAGTCCAAAAGAAATCATCCTTATTCTAATCTATCACTACTCATTATTTGTGAATTTAAATTTATCCTAAACTGCATAAATATTTAAATTTGTATATTCAAAATTGGTGTCATATGAAAGATAATAAATATTTATGAATTTTGATATATTTAGTACACATAAAAAAGATGTAACATTTAAAAAAGGGGGGGTTTTCATAAAAATGTAATTATTTCTTAGAAAAATGTAATTATATTAAAAGTGGTTTTAATATAATTACATTTACAAAAAATGTAATTATAAATAAATGTAATTATTTATATGTAGTATTTTTTAAAGTTTTAATTTTTTAAAATTTTTATATATTCCATATTGGTTTCATATGAAAGATAATAAAAAGTTTTGAATTTTGGTGTATTTTTTGTAATTATCTGAGTAAAAAATAAAGAAGTTATATAACTTTTAAATAAAAATGGGATTTTTATTTTTGTGGGCCCTATCTGATGGTAGTACATATGTTAGTTGCTTTGGCTTGCCTCTACATGCGGTACCTATTTTCATATAAGCCGCCACTCCACTTTGGCTGGTTCTTTTAACTAGAGTTTATGGGAGCAGTATTTTGGGAAATATTTTTAACCAAATCCTATTTTGGGAAATATTTTTTTATTTTACATTATTGTTGGAAAAAACTCCCTAGCTAGGCTACACTTGAACACCGAAAAATGCTAGTGAAATTAAAGGAAAAAATAGTAAAGTGGATTATGAAGTTTTTGTCACTTTTTAGTCCACCGATTATTATGTGAGTAACACTTTTGATACTCAACTTTTATTTTTTTTTCACTCCTAATTCAAGGACTAAGAATGTCTCACACACAATAGTCAAAGCACTAGAAATGGAAAAATAAAAGTCAAGTACTATGAGTCTATGAGTATCATTTTCACAATAATCGAAGGGTTAAAATGAAAAAAAACTCAGTAGAGTATGCTTAATTTTTTTTAATTTTTTGATTTTTTTTTGATAAATTGGATTGTTTTACTATTCGTATTCATAATATTCATATATAGCACAAATATATACTTCCCCATTTTTTTCCAGTGTTTTCCAAAATTCAAGCAGACTTCGAGACTAATGTAATAAATAAATGACTACCCGTTTCATAACAAGGATTTATTTTTAAGAAATTGGTCATAATAGAAGTAAAGGATCGATAGAACTATAAAATAGGAAAAAAGATTGGGATACACACTTTTTGTACACAAAAAGTGTACACTTGTCTGTCCCCCACAGACAAGTTGTCTGTAGCGAGATGAGTTGTCTGTCTTTTTGTGTACAAAAAGTGTGTACCCCAAGCTCCACCCACAAAATAGATGGTATGAATAGACATGTTCTATTTTCAAAATAGCTCTACATATTTATTTAGTCCTCTTTGTATATTCTACACCAATATATTCTCTTGGAAACAAATGGAGCCTTAATTCCTTCAAGACTAAAGACATTCTTTTTGTATAAATTTAATGATTGAAAGCCGGACTAAATTAAGGTTGGTTTTCTGCATTTTTTCCTTGATTGGGGCTGGGGAAGCCGAATGATGGGAAAAGATCTTGCTGGATTGAGCTTCAAAGAGTTGCAGCATTTAGAGCATCAATTAGCTGAAGGGATATTATCCGTCAAGGATATGAAGGTGTTTATATACTACCCTCAAATAATAATGAAATTACTGGATTTTGTTCTCAAGCTTTGATTACAGCTAATGTTATTTCAGGAGCAAGTACTATTCCAGCAACTTGAAAATTCAAGATTACAGGTAACAGCTTATATCACACTAAAAACAGTATCTCCATTTGTTCATTTTTGAAAAAAAAAGAATTCAACTTTGAGTTTCATCTTTTCTGAATTGTAGGAAGAAAAGATTAAGCTGGAAAACCAAAAGCTTAGTGAACAGGTAAATAATTATTTGAGTTTTGAACCATTTCATGGAGTAAAATCTTAAAGGTACTACGGTGTATTACAATTTGTTTTTAGGCTGCCAAAGAATGTTTGTCCCATGCCAAATTTTCACATTTTGTGACCCACGCTTATTATTACATTGCAATTCATGATTTCAATATTTATATCATATTCCTTGTCCTAAACTTAATGTGAGGGAGGTAGTACTTTTCAGTACTTACCCACCATCTTATAATTATCATCATCATTACCCCTGTACTAAAGCACATAGAGATTGTTCCGGATGTCTCATACTGAAAATCGCGTCCGAAATTGCATGAACCGACTGCTACTTCATAACAAAGAAGCGCAAACAATTTAATGAGCCATTTTGTTTTATTTCATCATATTCTCAAGTCAAAACATTGCGAGTCTTTGGCTCCATTATCTTATACTCCGTAATTGTTAAATACAAAGATATACTCACTCATGCATAAAGTCTTATACATACATTTAGTTTGCCCCCTAAAAAAGTCTTCTCCTAATTAATACTGCTATTAGGCTAACATTTGATGATGGAATACCAATTCTTAATATCATATCAAGCTTATAAGTCCTCAGCTCTCATCCTAATGTTTGCCTTCAATCATCTTGATTTTGGCATATGTCATGCATGCTCACTTGCTATGATCTGAACTTCTGATTGTGCTGAATAAATGCAGATTGAAGAGCTCCGGCGCAACTCCAGGCATTATCAGGAAAACCATCCCTCTGAAAATACCTGCTGGGCAAGTGTAAGAGCAATTTGTGATTGCAGATTAAAAAGAGAAGGATATATAAACAATTGTGCTTAGGGTAAGAATGAAAGTTCCCAGCTGATGGATTGAGTTTCATGGGTTTACACATTTCTTCTACATAGATACTACAGTATTATGTATTATATTATTATAGTATAACAGTATTATATTGCTGTCTTAACACCTATCTTCATTTGAACCTTTGCAGCCTGTGAGAAGAGAAATCTAATGCTTTGAGAGTAAGGAGCTGAAACAAGGAGTCATACTTGATTTGTTAAGATATATTTATGTTTCCGCTTGGTTATATCTCAGTTGTATTGGAATATCAATGCTCCTAAGTCGAGATGAACAACACTTGCAGAAGAAAGCATGGAACTGCGTAAAATTTATTTGAGTATATAGTTTATCAAGATTGATTTCAAGTTCATCCGACAAATTGGCAAATTACAGTATTCTAATATTTTCCATATTCCCGAAATAATCTTTACCAATGTTACATATCTTTTTTATCTTTATTTTCTTTCTTTTCTTTTTGGTGATATCATGTATCGATTTATGTTAGCCGACCCCAATATTGTTTGGGACTAAGGCTTGGATGTTGTTGTTGTTGTGTATGAAATCAGAATTACAGGGTTAAATAAGATATTTGTTCACGGATATGAGTATCAGAAATATTTACGGAGTATATTTTAAAAAATAAGTACAATACATTATTAAATTATGGAAACAGACCCAATATGCACAGAACGCGTACTAGTGCGTGTCGGTATTGAATATGTAGCGGATACACGAATACGCCATCACGGTGAAGTATCGGTGCACCATAGGAAGTAATCGCAAACACTCCTTACATATATCACAAAAACACAAAGTAGAATGACTAATATCCTAAAGGAAACGTCTCAAGTTTATAAACTTAACACGGAATTGTCAGATTAATAAAAATATGAGAAAAGGGGCAAATAAGCCCTCGTACTAACTAAAAAAAGGTCAAATAAGCCCTTATTCAGGAGGCTCTGCCCGGCCATTGCCATTTGGGGTGGTTCCCGGTGGAATTTTTTGATAAAAATTTTTGAGCATCTTATTCATTAAGTCTAATTTACTCATACCAAATTTCAGCTAAAACTTCAACCGGGAAGACATTCAAAAGAGATATTTGTACCCACCCTTATATTCACCTTATATCCACCATGTCTATGAAAGACTTTTTATTTTGTCTCTGAATCCCATTCACAGACAAAATATGTCCTTATTTTATCTATATAAATTTTGCACTTACAAAATAAGACATATTTCGTCAGTCAACCAGATTCACAAACAAAAAAAGACTTCCCCAAAAGTTATAAGTTTATAAATATAAAAGTGAGTACAAGAGTGTGATTTTGTAAAAATATTAAGATCCAAATGATGAGTTTAGCATAACGGGCCCCAATAGTCTAATCACCATCGGTTGGGCCGCAAATTATACCGTGGGATCGGCCCACCATGAGCAAGGTGTGCCGATCCCAAACGGTGCCGTTTTAATTAGTAAAAAGCAGTCATTCTCTTCCGATTTCAATGGCCGTGACCAATATAATTCTTGAGCTCCTGAAAAAAATAAGATTCATCATCGAGCACACTGCCGCCTTCTATCCTCATCATCGGCAACAAACTTACCGCTCCATCCCTATGCTTTCATTGAGTTCAGAACACTCTCCATCAAATCCCTAGAAAAGCTCAAATCCTTTCCCTCTCTGAGTACCTCTGCAACTGCCCAATTAAACAATCCAACAATTACTTTCCATTGAATCAATGATACGGTGAGTGGCTGGACAACATGCTCAAACATACCAATTTTGTTGGAGATTTGGCTGCGGATGAAAGCCAGCGTTAGCATCGTTACCCACCCCAGCTAGGCCGAAGCTAAGAGCAGAGAACCCACCGGCCGGCCTAAGAATCACGGCACCACCGTCCTCCTCCTTGATGTACGATGGCAAGGGACCGGCCTCCTGACATGGGGATGAGGATAAAAACCTTAGGACTCCTAAAGCTAGGATTTTCTGCCGGGGATAGGCATGAGGCATGGATCCATGGATATCTTGAAAAGCCAATTTGTTTAAGTTTTGTCATTTTTTTTTAATCTAAGAAAAGTTACATTTTTATTAAAACTATTTACATTTTCATTTATCTCAAGTTACATATCTATTAGTGTGAGTTACATGTCAACTTTTCTCAAGAAGTTACATCCTATTTACACATGATTTACATTTTATATAATGCGAGTTACACAACATAATAAGCCATTGTTATTCAAAGAAAAATCATTTAAAAAATCATTTTTATAGCTCTGATAATAAAAACAAAACATTTGCACAATTTATGTAAAATAATTGGAATATTAGACTCCTTTTTTCATTAAACATGAGTTACATTTCTGGGCACAAGTTACATTTGTTGTTAACTGAAGTTACATTTGAAACAACACGAGTTACATCTAATTATGCACAAGTTACATCATTCATGCTACTGAGATGAAAAAAATGTTACTGTACACGCGTGCACTGTTCACACGCTTTTTTTTGAATAATTGTGTGAAACTACGTCGTTTTAGGTATGGGAGCACGGTGCTCACCGTGTGGTGGGGTGATACCACGGTATACGAACTCCTGTTGGGCTTATCTTCCTTTTAACTTTACAACTCTAGTTTTGCCAATCGCCGAGCCCCGTCGTGTTTTCGGCGAAGCTGCCGGCTGTTCTACTGTCTTACCAAGGAGATAGAGATGGCAGGAAGGAACATAGCGAAGAAGAAGTTATGCTTAGGAGAGCTAGGGTTCAACAAGGGTGGTGGTGCCATCAATTGGTTCCCTGGCCACATGGCCGCCGCCACCAGGGCCATCCGCCAACGCCTCAAGCTCTCCGACCTCGTCATCGAAGTTCGAGATTCGCGCGTATGTCCATCAATCTTATCCAAATTTACTGTTTATCTCCTCCGTCCAATGTTCATTTTTTGTGTCCTATCATACAGATACCTTTGTCGTCAGTAAATGAAGACTTGCAACCCATCATTTCCCAGAAAAGGAGGGTTATTGCCCTCAACAAGAAAGATTTGGCCAACTCTAACCTCATTCATGTATTCTTTCTCATCCTCTCTTGCACGTTTAGGAAATTATCAGTGTTTAAGAAACGTTAGACTTGATTATTGTGTGAAAGAGTCTAGCTTTAAGATTGACTTGGTGGCAATCAATCAGAGATGGGTTCAACACTTCAATTCGTGTGAACAAGAGTGCCTTCCCATTACTGCACATAGTAGAAGTTCAGTACAAAAGGTTAGTCAATCTTTCTTGTGTTCCCTAACTTCCCTCTTGCAAAAATTTCTATAAATAGAGATTATGCACGCTCCAACCTTTCTAAGGTAAGCTAATCTTATTCATGTATGGAAGCTGTTGGAGCTTGTGGAGTTCAAATTGAAGGAGGTGATTTCTAGAGAACCTACTCTCCTTGTCATGGTAGTTGGGGTTCCCAATGTTGGTAAATCAGCTTTGATCAATTCCATCCATCAGATCGCATCGTCTCGTTTTCCAGGTGTCACAGTTTATGTTATGTTCTTATATTTTCTTCCCCAGTAATAAATTATGGAATGGAAATCTAATACAAATGTGTTTAAAACGTAATCTTCTAGAAATGATGGTTTTGAAAAAGAAAAAGAGAGCCACTGTGGGTCCATTGCCCGGTGTGACCCAAGATATTGCTGGATACAAGGTCATATTTTAAATATTTTAGTATCTACAGTTTTGTGCTCTCAGACAGCAAAGCAGTAATGTGTTTACAAATGATTAAAACTGAATTAATTTCGGCATCCATTTTGGGTGGGGATCACTTCAGCTATAAGATTCCTCAGGATCACATCTAGTGATGATTGTCTTTTCTCGTGCAAGACTTATGGAGATGATTCATATTTATCTCATATTTTTATTACATGGTTAAAGAAATGTTAAATGTCTAGATTTGATCGAATGCAGATTGCGCATCAACCTAGCATTTATGTTTTGGACACTCCAGGAGTGTTGGTACCAAGTATTCCAGATATTGAGACTGGGTTAAAACTAGCACTAACAGGTCATGCCACTTTTTAAGTTACAATATCTATTTTGTCATTGTTGTTTGTTTTATTCTTTTACATTTGGATATTAGAAATAAGTGGTCATGTGATGAGACAAATTCAGATTGCGAGGTGATGGAAGCGCCAAAGGTTTCTACTGAGATAAAAATGTGTGTATGCCCTAGGGAGTTCAAAGAAATTACCAAATTATTAAATGTAACCCAATGTTGTGTATTTAGGTTGTGCTTGATTAGAGAAAAAAAATAAGATATTGAGATGTTTGCCCATGGGTAAAATTATTCTGGAAATGCTCTGGGCATAATGTAATGTTTAAAGCACATAAACAGATCAAATAACTTCAAGAAAATGACTTCATCATGGAAACCTCAATGAGTCATGGAAAATATTTTGCTCTATCAAAATGCTTTTAGTTGATTTTATTGAAGAAATCATTAAGTAATTCCCAGGAATCTAATCTGTCTATAACCAAAGTATTCTACAAGCATTGAAAGTTCAATACTTCTCATTTTTACAGCTTAATATGAAGTACTTTGGTACCACATGAAATTTGCAGTGTCACTTAGTTGTCTATTTATATCTTCATAAGCTATTGAAATAGGTTTATGCTAGATGCCCTTTTTGTCTTAACCGCAAAAGAAGAGGTATGAGATGAAATTCCAAAACGTCATCGTCATATGTATTCCACTGAGTTGAGATAGCTTCTATAGTTCTATATATCTTTCTATTCACATTTTATTAATCTGTAAAACCATAGGAACTACTTTTCTTTTTGCTTTCATTGACAATTTCATTTTTCTTAAACTACCAAATAATTGATGAGTGTGCAAATCTGAAAAGAATCACTTTTTTGAATATATTATTATTCAGGGTCTGTAAAAGATTCTGTGGTTGGCGAAGAGCGAATTGCTCAATACTTATTGGCAGTTTTGAACACTAGAGGCACTCCTCTTCACTGGAATCGCCTAATGAACCAGGAATCTAATGGTCTTCACCGTGATACTCGTGACAAACCTGAATACAATCTGAAGGATCATCTTCTAAGGAGTAGGAATCCTGTATTAGATAAATCTGATTTGCACTACATTGAGGTAATCTGAAAGTGTTACTGCGTGTGCCATCACTTATTGAAAGTCTAGATTTTATGTTGAATTGATTGTTTCATTTCCAACACAATTAGAAAACTTTAAGTTACTGGTATTTGGTACTCTCCTCGAATTATATTTAGGTAATTGTAACTTTCCCTGGGTGGAGAATAAGATGCTCGTCATCTCTGTTGAAAAGAGTTCATTGGAATTTGAATAAACCTTACAAAGCCAACTGCCAAGAGACACCAAACATAATAGGGATCTCTTTCCTACACTATTAAAGCTTTCCAATTTCAATCAAGAAAGTCTAACATGATAGAAGGAATAATCCCAATCTTCTATGATGATTTATTATTTAAATCGGAAATTGTCCTAAATAGGACTAATGAGTTCCTAAAAAGCACAAATAGGACTACTACTTTTAAAATTCCCTAAATAGGACTAAACATTGATATTCTACCCTAAATACTCCTAAGAGTATTAATTCATAATGAAATGCTTTAATTCATAATAAAATCATAAAAAACGTAAAAAATATTTTAAAAACGTAAAAAAATTATAAAAAATTTATAAAACATTTATAAAATAAAAATATTAATTTTTTATTTTTTAATTTTTTTTTAAAATAATAAAAAATAGTAAAAACCCATAAAAAATGAAAAAAAATATGGATACCTTTCCCACCGCCTCCCGCCGCCTCCCAGCACCACCACCTCCGATTGGTGAAATTTCTTCCACTTTTGGTAAAAAAATGCCATATTTTTCTGAAAATGCCAAAAAGATGGCATAATTACTCTTCAATATGCCAACATTTTCATTGAATATGCCATCATTATGGCATTATTTAAAATGTTGGCATATTTTTCTCCGGTGATGGGAGTTGGTGGTGCTGGGGGTGGCAGGGGTGGTAATGTTTTTTTTTTTAATTTTATGATTTTTTTTTTAATTTTTTTATTTTTTTTTAATTTTTTTATATTTTTTTAAAAATATTTTTTATTAATTTTCTTTTATTTTTTTACGAATTTTAGTATTTTTTTCGATTTTTATAAATTTTTTTATGATTTTATTATTAATTAAAACATTTTACAAGTTACAAGGGTATATTTATCCAAACACACATAAATAGTCCTATTAAGGGAATTTAAAAAATGTAGTCCTATTTGTGCAATTTTGCCACTTTTTAGTCCTATTTAGGGAATTGACTCTATTTAAATTTAGCATATGTGTGGTAAGTGCTTTAATGTACGCTTTAAATGCTTATAAAAAGTCATGGTAGATGCTACTCACTCGTCACTCACACTCAACCCCTCCCAAAGTAGAAGATTCAAGGTATGCATGTTTGATTTGATGAATATCTCTCTGGTTTACATGCAGGATATGGTTAGTGCAGTTAAACGGGCGCTTTATGTCACTTTCTCAGAGTTTGATGGTGATTTAGAAGAGGAAAACCAGTTAGAGATTCTTATAGATAAACAATTTGAAGCTTTGCAGAAGGCATTTAGAATATCCAACAAGGCATCAGAAGCTCGTTTAATGATATGCAAGAAATTTATTACTTTGTTTAGGACAGGCAAACTAGGTACCTTCATTCTTGACGACTTGCCTCTTTCCCCACGCTCTGTTCCATGAAATATATTTCAATAGCGTTTTCCCCTAATGTTTCAGTAGCGTGGAAGTGTATTTTTTTGTTATTGAAATTGTGAAGAACTAATTTAACTAAGGTATTAAACAAAGATAAAAGGTTGTTGGTATATAATGCTCTATTGGGAAATGGCGTAGTTCTTCCTGCAATATTTTATTTTAAGGTACTATTCATTTTAAGGAACATAAATAGTCACATAGGGAACATTACACGGAGTAATACACTCGTGTGATAAATCAAAATGGAAATCTCTACTAAAATGCATTCACATATGCAGTATATATATTAGTATATTACGGAGTATATATACATGGGCTGAGCGGCCTGAGCCTAATGTACATCCAACTTGAGAACCCTTCATTTTACAAGTGCATCATTCCCTACAGTCCAACACAGTTCTCGAAGTGATCCCTAAAAAAGCAACAACTCAAATACTATAAGGCTTTGTCATCTTTTCTACTACGGAGTATATTTTAACCAATTACATATGGGCTTGTGAAGGAATGAGCATCCAACTTGAGAACCCTTCATTTACAACTTGAGATCCCTAAACAAGTAACAAATCAAACTGGAGGCTTTGTCATCTTTTATACAATATTCTAACCATTTAAGACACTGATCAAACCATTTGTAGTTAAAGTGTCTTAAAGTCTTCCCGTTTCATTTAATACATTAATACATTTTATTTAACCATCACATGGAGTAACATATTATTTACATGTAGGAATTTTAACGTACAAAATGACATAGTTTAAGCTACAAAGAGAGCGGAGGGGCAATCAGCTATTCCTCCTCTCTTTTTTTCGTTTTCTTTTCTTCTTTCATTTTTCTTGCTTCAATCTTGAAAAAGATTTTGTTTAATCAATATTTTCAGTTTTTACCTATACGTTTATTTCCCAATGTTGTCTAGAGATGTTATTTTCGGCGGGGTGTCACCACCATCATTGTTGAGGTGTTCTTGTGCATATTTTGTACTAAACTCCTTACTTGTGGTTCTTAAAAAAAACTCCTTACCGGTGGTTGACAAAACATAAAAATTGATAATTCTTTTCGGTGATTGGTCAAATTGGACTCATTTTGAATAGTATGAGCAATCACACTGTGATACGAGTCTACATGATTGCAGAGTTAGCGAACAACGCCTTTATGGAACTTTTCTTATTCTTTGCCTTATCCTAATATAGCATTGAACTTTATGATTGTAATGCTTACGCTTTTGATTGCTATGTTACTTGTTAGCCTTATCAATAGTAATTAAGTTGTTTTCTTTTAAAAAAAGTACTTAAATGACATTTTCTATTTTCTTAATTTAGGTGAATAAATAATCCTATAAAAATTTAATAACAATATAGTGAGTTTAATAACATGATTTAATATTAAAATAAAAATCTGTATGGTCTTAAAAGTAAGAGCTATGCTCGGTGTACCCCATTTTGGGTATCCCATTTGTACCTAACCTATTGTGCATTTATGTTGTTCATAAGTCTATCATATAAATGAGTCGCCCACTTAAATGAATTTTCTCATTTAAGCCACACAATATGGAGTTCAACCGTACGTCCTTACAAATGAAATACCCAAAAATGGGGGTACCTGTGGTATTTTTCAAATCACTCAGGGTTACCTATCAAACAAGTACGTAGCCCATTCAAATTGATTACCCCCTCCGTCCCTAAATGTTGTTCCAATTGCGGATTACGAAAGTTGACCAACGATAAAGTTAAATGATCCATGTGAAAACTCGGATTATTTTTAGTAAATAAAATTTACATATTCAGAAACTACATTAAACCCGCTACAAAGCCTGCAAAAAATAATTCATCTTTTATAAAATTTTGATATAAAAAGTAAGTGATGGATAATCTACCCGGGGGTATCTTATCCGAGGGGTTATTGCGGGAATAACTAGAGAGAAGTCAGAGCAAAATAGGAGGAGAGAGAGTCGATTTATTAAATGAACTCTGCGTGGTTTACAAGGAGAGTAAGGGCTGCTATTTATAGCAGCAATAAATGCGATGAGAGTACACGTGTCAGTAATCCAACGGCCGAGGGGTCACATCAATCGGGGTGGCACCGGCAGTGGCATGTTCGCCGCATTGAATGCGGTTGGCGGATGTGACGTGGCATTAAATGCGGTGGTTGGCTGTCTCCAAAAGGAATCTTCGATGATTGAGCATGTTTGGCCGAAGGCTCCTTGTGTAGCCGAGGGCTCAGGTTATAGTCGAGGGCCCCATGTAATAGAGGACCCCTGCGTGGCCGAAGGCTCTGTGCGACTGGAGGCCTGGTTCGACCGAAGGCTTTTCTGATGCCGAGGGATTGATGATGCCGAAGGCTCCTGTTTTCCGCCGTTTTCTCCCAGTAGCTTCGTATGCCAAAAAAGCTATCCTATGAGTTTTGGAGCCTTCGGCCAGGGAGGCCGAAGGCACCCCAGCGCGTATTCTGGGCCTCTTTGAGACTTGGGCCGCTGTATTTGGGTCAGAGATGTTCCCTGGGCTCAGTGGGCTTATGTATGAGAAGTAGGAGTCTATGGGCCGGGGTTCCTGGGCCATACACTTCATCAGTAAGAGTAAGAGTTTAAGAGTGATTTAAGTTTGGAGTCTTGGTCCTCTTCGTATCCTGCTGCTGTGCTACAGTTGGGCGCGCCCAGGCCATAATCCGAATTTTACTCCAGCGGTTGATTGTCCTCATCTTTGCCCAAATTCAAGTTTTCTCGTGGATGCTCACTGGATACCAAAGTAGCTGAAGAAATGGCAGACAGAGGTTCGGTGCTGGCTACGCTCTGCAAATCTCAATGGCCCAAGCTTTTCATCTCCAGTCATATTGTCTCAAGACCCCTGCTCTTACATTCTGTTTACCCAAAATCCTGGTACTTCCTCTCTTAATAACTCTCTTCATTTTTAAAATGTATATCAGTATATGATGAATAAAAATTTGATTTTGGCCTGTTGGGGCATTCTAGTCTAGGTAATTTGATATGCAAGGTATTCTGGAGAGGGGCGGTAATCAGGCCAGATTACGGACCCAAAAGTTGTAATATCTGGGGGATGCACTTGGTTCGGTTTCTATCCACACTCCCCGGAGCTCCAGAGTCGGGAAGTAGGGGCAACATTGCAGTTGTTGATGATTGTTTAAACAAATCTGCGGAATTGAAAGTGAAAAGAAAGAAACTGAAGGGTAGAAGGGCTGTGGTGAAGTGGTTGAAGTGCTTCAGGTGGAAGAAGAAGAAAGAATTCCAGAAGATGACTGCTGAGGAAAAATTGCTTTTTAATCTGAGAAAAGTAAGCTAACACTTATACCACCTCACTTTATATGACTCCTAAGTGAAACAGAATTCAGGACGGTTTCTAGATTAGTTCTTTTGAATAATGTAAATGTTAAGACATCCTGCCTCACAAATATAAAGATACAATTTCCTATAAAAGACCTTACACACCTCCAACCATCACTAGACCTTTTAGAACTGAACATTTAGACCAGAAGTCATAATGTAATTGTCAAGACATCCTGCCTCACCAATATAAATGATACTCCCTCCGTCCCTAAAAGAAGTTCCATTTCGCTTATCGAGGGTCAACTTAAATCACTCTTAAACTCTTACTTTTTATATCAAAATTTTATAAAAGTTGAATTATTTTTTGCAGGCTTTGTAGCGGGTTTAATGTAGTTTCTGAATATGTAAATTTTATTTACTAAAAATAATCTTAGTTTTCACAGGGATCATTTAACTTTATCGTCGGTCAACCTTCGTAATCCGCAATTGGAACAACATTTAGGGACGGAGGGAGTACTTCATATTAAAGTTCATTATGCTCAAACAAGAAACTATTCCAATTTTTCAGGATGAAACTTTGAGTGTATATGGTTATGGTTCTTAGATTGTCTCGGCTCTACATGATTTCAAGTTTTCAAAGTGACTTCGCAACGATGGAAGCTCTATATCATTATCTGCTAGACTGCTACAGACCTTAAGTTGAAGTTTAGTCAATGGCCGTGCAATTTTAAAGCTACATTTGGATTTTGGATTGATGATTTGCTTGCACATAACTCTTTAATGTTCAGAATAATATATGGAGCACAATTTATAAGTGTATAAATGTCATTTGGTATTATCCTGCCAGAACCTAAACTACAAGCATATTTTAGACGTAAAAATTGCGCTTATTGGTTTTCTGATTTTGTCTTGGTTCTAGGCACGCAAAAAAGAAGAAAGGCTTCTTGAAGCTTTAAAGAAGATTGAACCCAAGGAAGAGTCTGAAGCCACCCATGATCCCGAGATATTGACACCAGAAGAACACTTCTACTTTTTGAAGATGGGGAAGAAATGCAAGAATTATGTGCCTGTTGGAAGACGTGGGATATATCAGGGTGTGATTCTTAACATGCACCTCCATTGGAAGAAGCACCAAACACTTAAAGTTGTTGTCAAGACATTCTCCCCTGAGGAGGTTAAGGGAATTGCTGCAGAACTGGCAAGGTTAAGCGGTGGCATCATTCTTGATATTGAGGATGATAATACCATCATTATGTATAGGGGAAAGAACTATGCTCAACCGCCGACAGAGATAATGTCCCCCAGAAGCACTCTTTCTAGGAAAAAGGTTGTTCGTCTTGCTTCATTACTTTCTATAATAAGTTTAGGAAAATTGGTAGCAAAAGTATATTTATGCCATTACTGCATGTGATTACGACAAAAGTATGACCGTTTTTTTTCTTCCAAGAAATGACTAAATCATTTCAGAACCCTAAATATATCCTTTCAGCTCCCCAACCCTCCTCCTTGCGGCCTTGTGCCACCACCCTGCCACTGCCAATTTTTCCCCGCAATGTCGTCCGAAAAAGTTGCTGCCAGTCAAAGTGACATGTGGGACTGCATCACATGCAGTGATGGCATATCACTGGTGGCTTAACCAGTAGTGATTATCAAAAGTGACAAATATAGTCACTGTTTTGGGATTATCAAAAAGTAGTCATATGTTGTCTTTAACTTTTCTTTTACACATATACGGGGCCAAGCCCCAAATATTTATCTAATTTACTCATAAGTTTTATATTTCGAAGCTAACATTGCCATCGAATTACTTTGACTACTCAGGCTCTGGATAAATCCAAATATAGAGATGCCTTGAGAGCTATCAGGAGATATATACCTAGACTTGAGCATGATCTTGAGCTGCTTCGAGCACAAGCAGGGAACCATGCCAGACTTCCTGAAGAAAATGAATCAATTGGATCCGAGAGTTTTGATTCTGATCACCAGTTACATTTGCAAGCTGAGGCATCCAAAAAATTGAATGAAGTAATGTCTCAAAATGGCCAACATGATGATGAAAATGACTCGGAGGAATCTGATATGGGTGAAGATTCTGAAGATCTTTCAGATATTTTTGAGACCGATGAGTCTGAGGATGTGAATGATGAGGATAGTAATGAGGGACCCTCCCTTTATCTGGATGAATTTGAAAAGTTTCCAGTTCATAACAGTCGGGAAACAGAGGATTTTGAGGAACATTTGCGTCAAATATCCGCTGATTCAATGAAAGGGAAATTCCAAGGTGGAGATCGAAAGGCATCAGATCTAGATGAATTTGACAAGATGATCCTGGAAGCTGCATCACTTTTGAAGAAAAACAGGAGATGAAAAGCCTCCTTATACTGGTTAGTTTGCTCTTTCTTTGGAACTTCTGAAACTTGAGAAGTTTGGGGGATGTATTTATAAGAGAAATATCTCCTCCAACAAGTCTAAATACCATGATAACGATTATGAAAGATATAATTCCGACAATGACCAGGTTACATGTTTTTTCCATCATTTGCAATGGAGCCAAAGATTCATTATTTTTTGGCTTGAGAATATGATGAAATAAAGCAAAATGGCTCACTAAACTGTCTGCGCTTCTTTGTTATGAAGCAGCAGCCAGTCCATGCAATTTTGGACGCGATTTTCACTATGAGTCATCCGGAAACAGTCTCTATGTGCTTTAGTACAGGGGTAAGACTGCGTACATCCGACCCCCCCTTACCCCACCGTAGGTGGGAGCCTTTGCGGCACTGGGGTAAATGAAAATGATGAAAATGATGAATGACCAGGTTTCCTGTTACTGATCACAACAATGTGCAACTTCCATGGAACAGTACAAAAAATGTAAAATAATTCTAAATAATACCTACTATTACCATCAACCAATAATAATGCATAGTATAGTAATAACATTTCTTACCTCAACTATTTAAATATATAAAAAATGATATGGAGCCACTTTTTACTATAAATCTGGTCACTTAACACATCAATAACTGGTACTAGACTACCTAGTAAGCTTTATTTGATAAATGATAAGGTGGTACCTGTTTTTGATGGTTTGGCTGACGGTTAATACTTGATATTATTTAGAGTTATTTTTCCTAAAATGGAAAAATATTAGTTGATGGATGACAATATGTTAATGGTTGATACTTCATATTATTTAGAGTTATAGAAAATGTATTAATATTAGGTGGCAGTTGACACTTAAAAGCCTCTTGTCAACTTGCAAGCTTTACAGTAACACACCTTTTTCTCAAGATTGCCTGTAATTCAAAGCATACTGAAATAAGTCAATCAAATTTGACATCATCTAGAGAGAATTTATAAATTTAGTCATGTAGATGAAGCTTTGAGCTTCAATTCTAATCAGCGTACGAGGTCATACTGCAAGCACCAAAATACAAGAGATGAAAGTTGCTTTGAGAGCTTATGAAATTGCATCAATTTCTTTTGAAAATGTATCACTTAATCATTTCTTTCCTACCTATTTTACTCTTGCACACTTTGCTTTACCCACTATACACCTTGAACTTGATCTTGAAGCCTATATAATTCATACTTATCTTACTTCCATTGGTACCAGACCACTAAATAAGTTTTCTTTGATAATTGGTACCTGTTTTTGATGGTTTGACTGACTGGAAGTGTAGTCGGAAAATGGCTTTGTATCATTTTTGTTATAGATTTAAATAGTTCGGGTATGAAACTGTTATTTCCATACTCTGTATTTTGCATTAATATTAGTTAATGGGTTGATACATCATACGTGATATTAATTAGAGTTATTTTTCCAAAAAATGGCCACAACAAAGTACTGAACATCATATTCCAGCTAAATTCACGGAAGGGTGTCGCGGAACCTTTTGTTGTACAGCTGGATTTAGGCTGGTAATAGAAGGGTCTAGCCTTCTGATTTTTATAGCAAGGTCACACCTTCTCCAGTAGGCTTTCACCTTTCTGATACAGAATGGTGGTTAACCTTTCTACTACTCAGTAGGGTACTAACCCTCATCAGAATAAATTTATACCCTATGCTGACATAAGAATAAGTTTTATCTTTGCATTAACTCCAACATATAACACTCTTTTCATTCTTGAGAAACATTGATAGTGGATTGTGGGAAGGTTAAACTCTATAGTGCTCAACAAACTTATTTGCCTTCATTACTTGTGAACATAAAAAACCTATTTCAATCCATTTCATTAGGATACTTCAGTTAAAAGCATTTAGTTAGGAATACATTAGTGGCTGTTTCAAATTTCAATGGACATAAAGTGATTATCCAACCTCCAAAACACTTAAAAGCCTCTTTTCAACTTGCATTTTTATAGTACCACTCTTATTTCCTTAAATTGACTGTAAATCAAATAATACTGAATTAAGTCAAGCAGATTTGACATGATTTAGAGAGAATTTGCGAACCAACTTTGCCGTCTAGAAGAAGCTTTGAACTTCAATTATAAGCAGCAGAGGAACTTATACTGCAAGCAAAAAAATACAAGAGTTAAACATTGCTTGGAGCTTACAAAAATGCATCAGTTGTTTTTGAAAATGCACCACCTTAATGATTTACTTTCTACCCATTTTACTCTTTTATTCATATTTTTACCAACATTCACATTGAACTTGATCTTGTAGCCTATGTAGTCCATATTTATTGTACAGGTGTTCCTGTTTACAAGGTTCATTACCTAGTATAATAGTATCTAAAGTGGCTTTGGCCCTGGGCTTGACTCCCACAAACTTACTCCAGTAGGTGACATTCTTACAACAGATTAGGACCAAATGAGTGGCAACCCCAAAATATGAAAATGTGTCGTTTTTTCTATATTACAAAAGTCAAAAAGTAACAAATTGGATAAGCACATTTTTTCCTCAATCACTTTGTTAAATAAAAACACTGCATAGTTGCAATAAACTCAAAAATTGGTAGCATGTTAACCAATGTAAACATCTCATTGTTGCCTCATAAGTCATTGTCACTGCCGCTCAATTGTTGCAGCAAATGCTTGAGTGACCAATTCAAATCCTTAAATCCTGACATTAGTGTCATGTTTGCTCTATCTCTTATTTTGTAGACTGTAATCCTAATGACAATGACCGATCCCAAGTTCTTCACAAATGTATTCGTGAACATTAATTTCTAGGGACCTATTCTGAATTGCATTGTCATATTTTTGAGTATCATGGGACATGGATACATGTTTGGGGAACCAAAATTTAGAAAAAAGTTAATATGTGAACCCCATTTAATTGAAAATAATAATATTTGCATTCCATTCCTTCATTTTTTTAACAGGTGGGGTTCTTACATTACTTTTTTTGAAAATAGAGTGCAAAGTCTAATATCACCAAAAATAGGAGGTGCAAAGTAAAATTGCCCCTACATATTCTGTATAGTAGTAATGAAATATGTCACCACTTATCCTTTAGTCGTTGATGATTTGAATTTGGTCTGTTCTTTCCGCGTGTAAGAAAGGTACACCACTAAGAACTGATTATGGGACATATATCTTTGAGGCTCTAGTTCTTAGTGCATCCGGTGGGATTGGCCCATCAAATGTTATAGCGTATAGGGCCAGAGACAGAGATTGTAGAGAAACAAAGAATAAACGGTTTGAATTATTTTTCATACTGTATTGTTTTTTTTTTGAAGAAAAGGAAAGTTTATTAATGAAGAAGTTAAACGAGAGTACAAGAGAGAAAGATGAAAAAAAAAACCTAGAGAACAAGACACAAATAGAAAGAAAAAAGAATCTTAGCTAAATGCCAACCCGAATAGTTTTTCCATTTGATTCGAATTAATATATGACTATTTGTATTCGAAAAAGTCACATAAGAATATGAATAGTAATTTCTATGCACATATTTATCAAATGAAAATATGAATATTGGTATATTCAATTCCAAAGTTATTCAAATTTATCCAAGGAATAGTAATAGTTATAATAATTGTTATAATAATAATAATAATAATAATAATAATAATAGCAATAACAACAACACTTACAACAACAATAATACTAGTATGACTAATACCAATGATAAATTTAGATTTCAGATGATTAACTAGCTACAGAACATACAAGTCCAATCTAACTTTCGTTTTTAGTTTGTTGCTTCTCGGGTTTTAGGATGTTTTTACTTGGACTGAAATTTGTTGGTCTAGTCTGGTCTGAACTGGTCTGGTAAATGTTTGGTCGCTGTGTATTTTATAACTGTGGAAGTCTGGTCTGGTCTGTTTAAGCCTGGTCTGGTCTAGGACTGAAAACAGTCCAAGTAAAAACATCCTTAGTCCTCTAATTATTATTTATGATTATTTTATAATCCACATGTTTCTTACTTTAAATTTCTAAAATAGTTTCAGGCATAACATGTTTTGATTTTTAAATATGCAAAATGTCCAACAAAAACATCAAAAAAATGTGATTCTATGTACCATTACATATACATGCATATTATATAATATAATTAGGAAAAAATAAATGGTGATTTATTCAAATATGAATATTCGAATATAATCAAATATATTTGTAAAGTTAACCAAATCAAATACAAGTCTGATTCGACTAGAGGTATATTGTCAGAAAATTGCCCAAAAAAGGGCGAATGAGCTTCAGTAATTGAGTGTCAAACTAACAATCAAATCAAAATAGAGAAGTAACTGAAGATCTTATACACGCATTGGCATGTGTGTAGGTGAGTGCAGTGGGGGCAGATGGAACTGGGTGGCGTGCACTCAAGTAGCAACGTGAAGCCATGGCTATTAATTTCCACAAGGTAAACAAACTTCGTGGGAATCCCTCAACGTTTTTCTTTGTATAATTATGCTCATTATTTTCTTTTCTAAGAGGGTCCAGCAGTGGTTATGGCAAAAGTAAAGCTCTCGAAAAGGAAAGAGACACACACAACAGCACTCTGTAAAGTCTGCAACAAATATAAAAGTGATCTGATATGCCCATTGTGTACCCCTCAGGTTCTTTTCATGAATTATACATTGCTCAGAAGATACATGATGCTCCATTTAAGTCATTTCACAACTCCAAAGAAGCAATTATTATTCTTTTCCCTTCTTGTCCATATTAAAGATGAGGTAGATGAAAGGGGCTTCATAGTAATTTTAGAGGGTAAGATCGGTGAATTTGGATCCCTTCCAAAACTGAAAAGTTCCATTTGGAGGGAGGAGAGAAATTATGATGTGATGTATTGGTGAGTCAGATAGAGATAATAAGGTAGATATAGGAAGAAGGGAATGTCATACTACGTAGTAGTCAGGAATGTCAATAAATGTGTTAAGCTTGTGTGCAGTTTTTTATTGCTAAGAAAATGCCATTAACTTATTTGGGATAATATGTGTATGTTATCTAACACAAGTGATACTCCGTATTTATTTGTCTGTGCCATTTGCAAACATCATCACTTTATTTATCCGATCTTTTCTTTTTATGACATAATACTTTTGTCTTGAAAAAGTTTGCCATATTGACTTTTCTTGGTCTTGGTCAATGATGACAAATTTTGAACAATGATTTTTAATTATTATGTTTATATACTCCCTCCGTATTTTAATGTTCACTACAATAGGTTTGGACACATTATTTAAGGGTAAAATAGTAAGAGTAATGAATAGTGCAAAAAATGTAGAAGAGATAGTGAAAAAGTATGAAAAAGAAGATAAAAAGTACTCCGTAGAAAAACTTACCAAAAAGAGAAAGTGTAGCAAATTTTGAAATACATCAAAAAAAGAAAGTGTAGCAAACCTTAAAATACGGAGGAAGGAGGAAGTATAATTTACAAATTTTATACTTTTATGAAGATATTATGAATAAGGAACATTTCAATGTAATTTTCATATTCAAAATAATTAAGTATTAAGAAATATCATTGGTCAAAGTTGATTGTCATTGATCAAGAAAAGTCAATTTGGCGAACCTTTTCGGGAAGGAGGGAGTATCTGATACTACCTCCGTCCCAAATTAATAGTCTCAGTTCCTATTCACTTGGTCAATACAAATCATTCTTAATCTCTTACTTTATATATCAAATTTTTATCAAATTTGATTCTGGTTTTTGCGACTTTGTAAAGTTTTTAATGTAGTTTCTGAATATGTAATTTTTTTTCTAAAAATAATTTGAGTGTGGACAGAGATATGTTGGCTTATCGTCGGTCAAACATCGTAAACCGTAACGAGACTATCATTTTGGGACGGAGAGAGTACTTTTTTAGTCATATTTTGGGGTCGGGTTTAATGTCTTAAATTCTCTCATGATATATAAATGATATATAAATTTCGTGCATTACCTCTTTTGCTTATTAATCATGCACATAACAGCCATAACTCATTCAAAGACTAATTTAATTGTCAAATAAAAAAGTGAGTGATAAATTTTGTATAAATAATAGAACTTGACAAATTGACTTACACAGGGGAGGATCTATGTTAGGGCTATGGTGGGCTGAAGCCCAGGGCAAAGTTAAAAATTAATTTTTTCTAAGGTAGTATTTTGAAATATTTCCATCCAGCCCACTTCAAATTTTTCTATAGCCCACCCCAAAATTTTCTATTTCCCGATCCAAATATTCAGCTTAGCCCATAAAACAAAATCTTTTCATCTAAAAATAAATCTAATCTAAATGTTATACGCATCACGATAGGACTGACCCAGGGGAGGGGCTGCCTGTGCAATGGCATAGGACCTCAAAAAATAGAAAGCTCAAAAAATTAGTAGTAGTATTGATTATGTAGCTCACTAGCCCAAATTCAATAAAAATGAAGAAAAGTAATAGGCTTATAGCCCCGCATCTGGTATGAAGCGAGCAAGTCTTCGCCGTTTGACTCTTCATCATCGACATTGCAATTTCCGCAATGCAAGAATCTGCATCAGCCGAATTCGATAAAGCTATTCAATCGCTGTCGAGTGCCGAGTCGCCGACCACTCCAGGAACCAAGCGCCAACATCTGTATGTGCCTCTGTGTAGCCATGTAGGTCCGCCAATCAAACTACATTTGAGCATCCTTATCACTTTGACTTTTTCAACGAGGCAATATACTTTGTATTGATGGAGTTAAGGACCCAGTTTAATGATAAATCAATGAAACTCCTTTCTTTGAGTGCTTCATCGGATCCTAAAAACTCAAATGAGTCCTTCAATGCCGATATTATTTGTACTCTTGCAAGGAGGTTCTATCCCGAAGATTTTACTAGCGGGATATTCGTGCTTTGGAATTTGAGCTGCAACACTATGTTCACGATCGATGTGATTCCTAATACAAAATTTCAAGTATCTACACTTGTTCAATTATGTGAGGAATTGATTAAGAGCAGAAGATCTGATTCATATGTTATGGAGAGCAGATTGATTCGCCTTGTATTGATCCTAGCTATTGCTAAATCAAATAGAGAGCGATAATTCTCTCTCATGAAACTTCTAAATACAACACTCTGCAACAAAATGGCGGATGACTTTCTTGCAAATTTCATACCACTTTATATTAAAAGAGACTCTACTCTTAGTATAGATGTAGCCTCTATTGTTGACTCATCCAGAACAACTTTAGTGGAGAACTTTTATATTTGTTTTTTTCCCTGATTTGAAATTTTTTAATGTATTACTCCCTCCGTCCACTAACAATGGGACAAGAGGTAGTGACACACAAACTAATAAAAGTGGGTTATGTGGTTGATATTGAATTGGTAAAGTAAGAATAAAGTAAGAATAATTTGGAGCCACACAAATTTTGCCTAATTTGGTATGAGACAATCTTAGTGGGACCGACCGAAAAGGAAAACGGGACAATTTTAGCGGGATGGAGGTAGTATCATTTAAATGTTTCAGCCTACCCCAACATGAAATCCTGGATCCGCCCCTGGACTTACATGCTCATCATCCTAACATTAAGATACATGATTTTAAAGTGTTAAGTTTGTTGTTTCCGAGGGTTATGTGCAGGATTAAATATAGAGAATATTACACGAAATAGGACTAAAAAGATTTGAAAATTCCAAAATAGGACTGCCATATTTTTATTCCCAAAATAGGACTAAATACAGTCATGTTTTGGCAAAACCAGACTTCAAACATGACAGTATTTTCCAAACTTGACAGTAATTACTCCTATTTTGGGAATAAAAAACATGGCAGTCCTATTTTGGAATTTCCAAATTGTTTTAGTCCTATTTCGGGAACTTTCCCTTAAATATAACATAAGGGGATTTTGTGCATTTTTATGTATCACAAAAAACATATACTCCGTATTAGGATACATTGACTTCATCATCCCAGCTAACAATCTCATCTCCACTGTTTCGGTAAAAATAGTCTTACTAGTGCGCGTGGCTTGAGTGATATTTCGGAGTCCATTGGTAATTAAATATCGTTTTTATCAATCCTTCCATTCCACGGAAGGAAACTAGTCATAAAGATTAAAAATTTTCCATCTCTAGTCCTTATGGCTGAATTTCCCACCCCCTCGTGGTGATTTTAAAAGCCGAATATATTTATGAAAAGGAACACATGTAGCAAGAAACAATAATTATGAGAAGTGATCAAAATTAAAATATGGATGGACTATATGTGAAATTTACTCCGTATATAATATTGAGTTGAAACAAAAGTGGGATTAAACAAGTTTCTTAGCGAATTTATTTATTCGCTATCACTAAAACGACAATCTTTTTGCGGAATTGCGGCTAGACAGTAGCCAAATAATTTGGCTAGTAAAGCTTTTGTATGAAAGATCATTGAATTACTAATGATGTATTTAGGCTAGATTCTAGAGTAATGCTTTTGTATGCCTTATTGAAGTGATTTGACTTTAATAATTGTACATTATATAGTTCTATAATTAGGATAATAATAGACGTCGAAAAAGTTAGGAAAGAGTGGGAAGGAGAATATAATCTAATTGGCAAATAAAGCTTAATAAATCAAGGGTTTTTTCCAAAAATATTCCTAAAATAAACTTATTTACAAAATATGACTATTAGTTACTACTAGTACAATATAGTGTCATAATAACTGAAGTTTAAAAATTGAACATAGGTTAGCAAGATTTCATTACCACTCTAGTCACTAATCACATTCTGCTCAAATTATTCCCTCACGTGTAAAACTAAAGTCATGTATTTCCCAAAAAAAAAATTGGAAAATATTTCCCCCATCCCTTATAATTTGGGAAATTATAGGGAATGATACTATGAACTATACATTTATACAGGGGTTCCTCCATCATAACTTCATTCTAGAAATGAGTAATTATAATATATCTAGTTATCCACACATTTATTTATGAGTCCATAGTGGAGTCATGCATGATTTTTTAAAAATTTTGCTTATACGTTTGTCGAGTTAGATTGGCACGTTGAACAATAAAAGAAAAAATTTTAACTAAGATTTATGAAGAAGAGAGAAATAATAAGAATGACAGATTAGTTGTTTAGAAAGAAAAGTGATAAATTTATTGATGGACTAAAAAAGAAAGTTGGCAAAATTATAAGTAGTCTATATTTATTATTTTAAGATTCACAATATTTTATTTAGAGCTAATAGTTGGTTAGGTTTAATTGCCGAGCAGTTTATAGTGGGATGACAGAGCTTTCATTAAGGACACTTCAAATCTCATCCAAATTAATAAGCGTATTATTATTGTTGAACACGAATTGTAGATAGGGATGGACTGGGCCCGAGCCCAGGACCGGGCGAGCTTCTGGACTAAGGAATTCAGGCCTGGTACCGGCCCGGGACCGGGCGGGCTTCAGGACTAAGGAATTCAGTCCCGTACCGGCTCGGGTATGCTCCGGGACCGGACCTGCCCAGACCCAAACAGTACCGGGCCGGGCCCGGATCGGTACCACCCATTTAATTAAACTTTTTAAAAAAAATAGTGCAATTGGGCCCTGACAGGGCCTGGCCAGGTCGGGCCCACAAAATTGAGCTCGAAGCCCGCCTCTTATAACTACTAGCCCGACCCCAGGCTGGGATCGGGTCACGTTGGCCCGTCCTGGTCCATCCCTAATTGTAGATAGGTTGGAGTATATGCAAAAATAGATATTTAAAAGAAATTGCTCAAATAGGGCGAAAGCATGATAAAACTTTCAACAGAAATTGACCTAAATAGAAGTAAAAACATTTTGAAATTCCAAAATAGGACTATCGTGTTTTTTAATCCCTGAATAGGAGTAATCTGCCAAGTTTGGAAAAAAATGTCATGTTTAAAGCCTAGTAATGCCAAACTTGACATAAATTTACTCCTATTCAGGGAACGAAAAACATGATAATCCTATTTTGGAATTTCAAAACGTTTTTACTTCTATTTAGAGAATTCTCTCTCAAATGATAATTCTCAAACATGATAGGATGGGTAAACCAAAACTCTAATCCTAAATACTAAGGGATAAGAAGTCATTAAAACTCATA